TTGAAGACTGACTGTTGTAATTGCCAATTTCATTATAGCTTCCACCACCTCCATAATTGCTTCCATCATTACCAAATCCATTGTAGCCATCTCCACTGCCACCATATCCACGCCCACCACAGCTGCCATCAAGGCCACCTCGACCACTGAAGTTTCCTCCATGACTGAAACTCATTGAAACCAAAACCATGTCCATGACCACCACCAAAATTTCCAGAACCACTTCGACCTCTTTGGCTAGATGAAGCACTAGCCATCTCCCACTTTGACAGGGCTTTCCTCACTTCACAGTTGTAGCCATTCACAGTGGGGTTTTTTTGTTTTTGTTTTTGTTTTTTAAATTCTGTTATACCTATTTGTATTTCCTCTTTTGAGATCTTATACTAGGGAGACTGTACTATATTTACACATGTAGATCGGGTTTGTTTCGCTTATGAGTATATCTTCAAGTGACATCCAATTAAATATGAAGGCTTCGAGTTTATCTTTCTTTATAGCTGCATAATACTCCATTGTATAAAAATACATCTTTTTCATCTGTTCAAATGATGGGCATCTTGGTTTCCAAGATTTGGCTATCACAAATTGTGCTACTATAAACATAGGTATACATATCACTATCATATGATGTTTTCAGTTCCTCCAGGAAAATTTTCAGTAGGGGATAGCTGGTTTGAATGAGATTTCCAGTCCTAGTTTTCTAAGGAGTCTCCACACCGATTTCCATAATGGTTGCACCAGTCTACATTCCCACCAGCAGTGGAGAAGGGTTCCTTTTTCCCCATAGCTTCTCCAACATTAGTTGTTGGTAGATTTCTTTATGATAGCCATTCTTTCTGGGGTGAGATGATATCTCAAGGTTGTTTTAATTTGCATTTCACGGATAGATAGTGATGTGGAACATTTTTTCATATATTAATTCACTTCTTTAATTTCATCCTCTGAGAAGTGTGTGTCCATCTTGGATGCCCATTTCTGGATTGGATCTTTAAATTTTAGGACCTTAATGTTTTTTAGTTCTTTATAAATTCCAGAGAGCAGACCTTTGTCTGAGTGCTTATTAGTCATGATTTTTTCCAAATTTGTGGGTTGTCTCTCCACTTCGTTGGTAATTTCTTTTGACGTGCAAAAACTTCTCAATATGAGGAGGTCCCAATTGTTAATTCTTTCAAATATTACCTGTGCGATTTGATTTTTGTTCATGAACTCTTTGCCTACCTCTATGTCTCCAAGAGTTCCTCCTACTTTCTGTCCCAGGATATTGAGTGTTTCTGTTTTAATGTTTAGATCTTTAATCCATTTTGACTTTAGCTTAGTGCATGGTGATAGACCTGGGATCAAGTTTTAGTTTTCGGCATGTAGAGAGCCAGTTTTTCTAGCACCATTTGTTAAAGAGGCTATCTTTCTTCCAGTGAGCATGTTTGGCACCTTTGTCAAAGATCAGGTGGCTGAGTGTGTTCGCAGGGCTTCAGTGTCTTGTAATCTATTCCATTGATCCTCAGGTCTATTTTGTTGTCAGTACCATGCTAATATTACCACAGTAGCCTTGTAGTATAATTGCAAGTCAGAAATTGTAATGCCTCCAGTCTTGTCGTTATTGGCCAAGATTGCCTTTGCTATTCTAAGTCTTTTCTAGTTCCAAATAAATTTTAGGTATGATTTCTCTGTGTCTGGGAGGTATGTTGGTAGTAGTTTGATAGGGATTGCTTTAAATCTGTACAGAAGTTTTGGGAGTATGGCCATCTTCACAATGTTGGTTCTTCCTATTTGAAATCCTCTACGATCTCTTTTTTCAGAGTAGTGTAGTTTTCTTTGAAAAGATCTTTGACTTCTTTAGTTAGATTAATTCCAATGGTGCTATTGTAAAAGGTATTGTTTCTCTATTTCCCTCTCAGTGTGTTTGTTATCTGTGTAGAGGAACACTATTGACTTTTTGGGTATTGACTTTGTATCCTGCTACACTACTGAATTTGTGTATCAAATCTAGTAGCTTCTTGGTGGAGTTTTTTTGGGTCTTCCAAGTCAAGTATCATATAATGTGCAAATAATGATAATTTAACTTCTTTACCTATTCTTATGCCTTTTATTTCTCTCTCTCTCTCTCTCTCTCTCTCTCTCTCTCTCTCTCTCTCTCTCTCTCTCTCTCTCTCTCTCTCTCTCTCTCTCAGAACCGGGCATTGAACTCAGGCCAGACAAGCACTTATTCTACTGAGCCATCTCCTTGGCTCTATTTCTCTCTTGTCTAATGACTGTAGCTAATGATTCCAGTACTATACTAAATAGAGTGGTGATAAAGGACATCGTTGTTTTGTACCAGATCTGAGAGTAAGAGATTTCAGTTTTTCCCCATTTAGAATTATGTTAGCCATTGTGTTGTTATGTATGGCTTTTATCAGAATGAAGTAGAGACCATCTATTCCCATTTTCTGTAGGACTTTGAACATGAATAAGTGTTGGACTTTGTCAAAAGCCTTTTCAGCATCAATTGAGATGATCATGTGGTTTTTAGATTTGGCTTTACTGATATAGTGTATTACATTTATAGATTTGTGAATATTGAAGCATCCTTGCATCCCTGGGATAAATCCTACCTGTTCATGGTACATAATCTTCTCGATGATTTGCTGTATTCATTTTGTTAGAATTTTATAGAGAATTTTTGCATCAGTATTCATGAGGGAGATTTCCCTGTAGTTCTCCTTTTAATTGTGTCTTTCCCTGGTTTTGGTATAAGTATAAAACTTGCTTCCTGGAATGATTTTGGGAGGATTGCTTCCTTTTCAATTTCCTTGAAGAGTTTGAGGAATGTAGCCATTATATTTCCATAAATTTCTTGTAGAATTCAGTTGTGAATCAATCAGGGCCTGGACTTTTATTTGTCAGTAGGTTTTTTAATTTTTATTATTACATTTTGTATTTCATTGGCTGTTATTGGGTTATTGAGAGTTGCTATGTCTTCTTGATTCAGTTTTGATAATTTGTACCTTTCTAGGAATCTGTTTATTTTGTCTGTGTCTTCTATTTTTGAGTGTAAAGATTCTCAAAGTAGCTATTGATAATCTGAATTTCCACTGGGCCTTTGGCGATTACACCCTTTTCCTTCCTTATTGTTTGCATTTGAATGTTTTCTTTCCTCTTTTTGATGAAGTTAGCTAGGGGCTTATCAATTTTATTTAATCTTTCAAAGAACCATCTTTTTTATTCGTTAATTCTTTGAACTGTTTTCTTCATCTTAATTGAATTAATTTCTGGTCTAATCTTCATGACTTCTTCCCGTCTTTTGTGTTTGGGTTTGTTTTGTTCTTCCTTTTCTAGATGTTGGAGGTGCAGCACTAGGGTGTTTATTTGTTCCTGTTGTTTTCCTAATGTGTGAGTTCACAGCTATAAATTTCCCTCTGAAAACTGCCTTCATTGCATCCCATAAATTCCGATAAGTTGGGCCGGGGAGATGGTTCAGTGGAATAAGCACTTCCCTACTTCCCTGGCAAGCACTAGGGCCTGAGTTCAATTCCCTGTTCAAAAAAAAAAAAAAAAATCCGATGTTTTACTTGACTTTCCATTGAATTGTAGA